ATAGGGATTCACACTTACAAACGAAGTTGGCGTCCTCTGGCACATTCAATAGCTTCAGGATCTGTAAGTTCCAATATTAAATCATAAATACTACGTTAAGGGATTTGTGCTAGACAATATTAACTAATTCATGAGTACACTGGTTAATAGAATTTCAATAATGAAAATTGTAGAGTACCACAGAGCAGCCAGATCAGAGTGATTCAAATCAACCTGTTTGAAGAGCAGTATGCACAAATAGAGGACCTAAGAAGCTGCCGCCAATACCAATAGCAACAACATCCTTCAATGCTTTTCCTGTGGCCCCAACCTACCAATGTTTATATGTTACTCAACATTTTGTTATGACATAGCTGTATGCAGTGACAAGTAATGGTGGAAAATTACCCAAGAACCACTGCGGACCCTCTCAGAGAAATCTCGAATTTTGTTCAGAACGTGCCAAACATCTGGTACCACATTCTTCCCATCACTGTATATAACTGCATCTTTTGAAGCACGGAGTGCTATGTGAAGGACTGACCTATTCTCTGTGCTGTTTATCTGAACGTGCCACCCACAACAAAGTCTGAGGATAAAATTGGACAAACCTAGGATAATTTCAATGCCTTAGCATTGGAAAGTTCTTGTATTTTTTTTCGGTGAGTAACGTTTTTGTATTATTGATAGGGTAAGAGAAAAAAATTTAGACCCCCTTATTCTATCAATGCATGATTTCCCAAAGTTAATGAATTGAATACCCAAATTATGATACATGCTACAGAAGATCTAAATATGAAACAATCCTTGAAGAAAAAGGGTGTCCAACTTCTCAATTTGAGAGAGGATGCTTCTAACTTGTTCATAGGATTAAGGTAGGATGGCTTAAGCAGATAACTGTTTCTGCTATATTATTTGACACATGTATACCAATGAAAATTAAAGGAAACTTCTATATCACACCTATAACTTCAATTACATTTACAGGATCAAATGACAGTCAAACAGGAGATAACATGTTTTTTAGAATGTAACTAAAATGAGAATGTTAAGATGAATATTTGATAAAAATAAAAATAAAAATATAGGTAGAGTTGAATACATTGGTGAGGCAAAAAGAGTAATACTAACAGATCAAGATGGTTTGAAAATGCACAATAAAGACCAATTGGCGCACCAATATGGTTGAGTGATACGATACATTATGAAAGTGTTGGCGGAAGCAAAAGATTACCATCAACACAAAATGAGGAAGTGGCAAATCTATAATTATTGTATAATGGCTTGTAATTTACCCTAAAAATCATACAATGGAGAAAAAAAATAAGAAGCCGATCTAAATAACTAAACCAAGGTTCAGTTAGGTTTGGTTCTGGAATCACGCTTCTCAATGACAGCAGGGATATCAAATCAATAAACTTAATAAACGGAAACCTCCACTTACATGCTCCCCACTGAACATGCTGTTAATCTTTTGCTTGAGATGTGCAGCCTGCAGTATCAAACAGGGAAGTATGATCAGATTATTTAATTGCCAGAACCAGCCAAATGGAGAATGGGCCAACTAACCTCTGCCAATTTGAAGAGCTTCTCCAAGGTGTCAAGAGTGGCACACTGCCTTGAGTAGTCCAACAGTATCCCGTCATAGTCACTGTAGATAAGAGTACCCAAGGACGCAAAATCATTCATAATACCATTGCCATATGAAACATGCATGATCCAAGACTTGGTCAATACACTCCATGTTTTCATCCAAATGACCAAAACCATGGAAAGAAAAAAAAAAGATGACTAGGTTAAAAGAAATCAATTAAGAATCATACACCATCATCGAATTGCACCGGTCAGTGTCGCCCATTAGTTCGCGTAAATGAGTCTTCTTGATATCCTCAACATGGGTCTGCACACAAACAAATATCACACTTTCTCTACGACAGACCATACTAATAAGCAACAGGCTTGTTACCTTCAAGGCTTTCCATGGCTCGGTGTCGCAGATTAGGGTAGCTGAAGCCATCTGCAACAGGAGTAATGAAACCCACAATCAAATCTTGGTCCCCCAAGCTTTAAACAATGATAAAGTGCTCTACTTTGTATTAGTATTCGACAAAATCAATACAACTCCACTCAGCCAAACTTAATAGAATTAATTATTTCCGTTTTGGTGAGCTTTTCTTCCCTTTTCACCATTATTATCCGAAAATTTAAAAAGATGACCCAATAACTTTCAGCTTGTAAAATACATAAAATGCGATCTCCATCAATCTGAAGCAAAGAATTGAGAAAAGTCAACAACTGAGAACATATATATATATGTACACACACTACCATTTAAAGGGGAAAAGTCAACAATTGAGAGTGACTGAAAAGATTTTGAACCAGAAGACTCGAGGCAATACCTTACCATCCAATTTTTATACCAAAAAAAAAAGAAAGAGGAATCGTGATTATAATAGCGACTTGAATGACAATAAATTCAAGAATTAGATAGAGAATTAAGAAAATATTGGTGTCGAGCGAATACCTGAAGCTATTGATTAACTCAGAGCAGTAGTTAATCACTCCACAAATCTCTGACGAGAGAGAGAGAAAGTCTCACCCAGCCAAAAGAAAAAGATTGAAGAAAGATATACAGAAACTCCTGGGAAGCACAGAAGCGGAAAGCGTGTGGAATGGTGGGACGCAAAGTGATGATACGAGGAGGTCACGTGTAATAACGAATTGAGATGAGAGGGCTTTAACCCAGTATGATGCGGATCGGGACCGATGGTTTTTGGTCGGTTGGTGTGAGTTCTATTTTTAGGGGTAATTACACAGGATTCCCTGAATTATTTACGAATGATTCCCCGAACTTGGGTGAATTGCTCTAAACAGTTTTTTACTTTCTTTATTTTGGTTCCATGATTATGAGTGTCCGAATCATCTTATGTGTTCTTCGATTAATTCTTTCTTTGATCTGGTTAAAAATAAGTCATCTACGTCGGATTTAGAGTATTTACGAGAGATAAATTCTTTGTGACCTGACCTAACCTTACAGAATTGTCAAGATTCAAATTTAAAACGTCTGAATTTATAACTCGTCTCTATTACTGCTCAAATTATCCCTTGAGATTAATTAATTTTGTACTGAACAAGACAAAAGGTGCTCTAAGGTGCTCTAAAAAGTTCTATAATTCTAGAATCTTGGATTTAAAGATTATACTGAGTCAATATATATCAAGATATTTCGTTAGAAGTCTAATGAATTTGAACTTTTGTATGTTTATTTTTATCGCATTCATAAATCACAAATTGCACATTGGGAGATTGCCAAATGTGAATATGTGTATCATTTGATGAAATTTGGTTGTTCTACGATCGTCTCCAAACAGATATTACATGTATATGACCATCACATACATAATCTTATTGATGAAATTTGGATGTTTTTATATTTTTCCTCCATCATATTACTTTTAGGTGCTCTTCTTGATGTTTCTAAAAAACAATAGTGTGGTGTTATGTGTGTATTCAAGAGAGTGGATAGATGTAGATTAGAGAAAGGGGAAAAGAATTAGAATTTTCAAGAAAAATATTGAAGAGTCCATAGATATAAAATTAAATAGTACTATGAAAACATTTTTGAGTTTTTCTAAAAAGTACTTCCATTGTTGAGCTTTACCCATTTGTGACCTAACAATGTGTTTGATACATAATATTAAACCCTAGAAATAGAATCATTATTCCTTAGGATATTCATTCATTTGTTTGGTTTGTGGGAATAGAATTTCATTCCCTTTTCTAAGTAACAACTCATCTCATAAATTATAAAATTAATTATTCGCAAATAAATTCTAAGAATATATGAGCATTGGTTTAATATATTTTTTTTTTTTGAAATTTTGAATGTTTGCAATCCTTATGTAGCATTTATGATGAAACCTACATTTGACAATATCTTATTGTATTCACTTCTATGCCGATAAATAATATATGCGTTCTGCATATATGTACTATGAAGTACTATGTTTGACCGTGTTACTAGTGTAAATGTTGCATTCTATGACTAGAAGAAGACGATTTGTGAAGAGGAAGATCTATGATTGAGAGTCACAAAGTCTTGAGTATCTGTACCTACGATTCACTCATATTGTAGAATGATATGCGATACGAAAAATATGTAGTTATTATTTATCTATGGCTGAGAACAATGTACATGCAAAAATATTTTATTTGTGAAGGTTATGTGTTTTTATTATTTTTTTATAAGTGTTTTTATTTATTAAGCATTTTTTGGTTAAATCTCGTTCCATTCCCTCAAAAAATTGTTTAGCCAAATATTAGAATAGAATTTAGATTCCATTCTTATTTAAAAAGATTATTGCATAATTAACGCAGCATAAAATGTTATTATTTTAAGTCACAGTTGATGGGTTATGTGTAACCTATCGCAAGTTTGGAGGGGTCATTTGTAATTAATCGTAATTTAGGTATATAAAAAGCAAAAATTGGATTCCGTTGCCGGGAATCGAACCCGGGTCTCCTGGGTGAAAGCCAGATATCCTAACCGCTGGACGACAACGGATCATGTTGTTTGGGTAATTTTCTTTTATATTATATACTAAGTTCATCATAATCTTTTGCCACCTTGAATCTTCTTTTTTTTGTTTATATGATCACGAACTTTAATCTTCTGTAAGCTATATATATCAATATTCTCTCATATTTTCATTATATAAATGCCCATAAATTTATGAGATAACTGGTTGATAATTGTCAAAAATGGCTCCCATGTTTTGTGTTTGCATTACATTCCTAAATGCAATTTTGTATCAATAAAATCAAATCAAGAAAAGATTAGGCTGGATAAATGGTTAGTTTGCTTGAAGTTCAGTTAGATTTTGTGAAATCTGCTTAATTTGATGTACCCACTATATGTGATAAGTCCCACCACTGTACATGAACATTGATTGCATTAAATCTTCTAACAAAATAGTAAAGTTTATAAGATTCTGTCAAAATAGGTGCAGAAGAATAAATGCAGATCCAAGTGTAATACAATTTCTCCCCTAACCTAAAGATCACATGGAGAAACATATGCAGACAGTCGATGAAAGGAGAAAGAGCTGCAATCTACTGGCTCACACAAAAATCTGCCTAGAAGGGTTTCAATCCCTCACTTTTAGATGTCCCTACTCCGATTACTCTCGAGTGAACTTCAGTTAATGTTAAGGAGCTCACAATTTTCAAGTGTCTACAATTGTCTGCAAAACCTCTGTTCAACTGCTGCGCTGCTTGGAGGAGTAACAGTTAGCTTGGTGTCCTTTTGAGTTTTGGATAGTCTAAATCATCCACTTGCCACATTTAGGTAGCAAATTGAACATATTGCCAGTATTGATGATCAACCATTAGACATATTAGGTGTCAAAGTTGCCAATTCTTGGCATTGGAATGGCTTTTGTATCTGCCACAGTCAATACTTGAGGAACTGATGTGCCCCCGGAGATGAAAATTTCTACATAACAAAGTTAATAGCAATACTATCATTAGATATCTAGCAGAAATGATAATGTTGTCATGATTTATGGTCTGCAAATCATACCAATTCCTTCTCGAACAGACAAATTAGGCCTCATAACATCATTTGAAGTGATGAGAAAAATTTCTCCAAGATAGAGGTGGTTAGAGGGTACGTAAACACAGCAGAGTTCCACTTCACCCGCACTCCTCTGAAGAATGAAGGTAGAAGTGATAAATCCAAATGCATATTCCCCGATACGTGGCTGTCTTATAATGGCCACTTCCTCAAAGGCATTGGAGCTCTGATCTGTGACATGCAATGAAATGTTAAAAATTGTCATGACCAGGTTGTAAGAATAAATACAACAACATAATCATATAAACTTACCTGGGGATATTGCTGCACTTATCTGTTTTGAGGCAGAATATATGTAGCTTACAAGTGGCATTTTCTTAATAAACCATTCCCCAAGGCCAAGAACAGAGGCTCCCAACCATGAGGACATGAAAATGCCAACTAAGAAGATGAAGGTAATAGAAGTAATGAATCCAAGACCTGCAGGTTACTAAATTAGTTGCATGACTTACCAGAAATCATTACACAGCAAAGAAAAGCACAATGAGATGTTTGGTCCAGACGAAAATTTCACTCTCATACACTGTATGTCTTTTGTTATTCTCAACTCTAACAGTTGGTCTCAAGTTACATCAACTTTCCATTGGCGTTGCAAAAGTAAAATTACATTGGAAGAGACAACATCCAATTGTATTCAGCTTCTTGATAAACAGATGGACTTCATGTAGTTTTAAAGAAAGGGGATGAATATCTAAAGTTGTTCTCACGGGATAACTTCTCCTTCCAAAATCCTACCTAAAGCATAAAAGCAAAACCTGGGAACAAGCTCTCATTTAAGATGTTGAGATGCTTTGAGACGACAATTTGTCTGGTGTACTTCCAAATTTTCAAAATTTTGTATCAGAGATGACAATATAAGGATCAAAGTCAAGGTCAAGCAAGACTGTTCTCCATAGATTCTATTGTCAAGGATGGAACTGCTCTTATCTTAACCATCAGATCTCACAACCACCCTTCGGCCTTATTCCTAGTGTTTTCATAGGGCCAAACCAAATACTAGGGATAAGATTTCGACAGCAAAAAAAAAAAATGGGATAAGACTTCGATGCATGTATATGATTATCACTGCTCTTATAGTTTGTGCTTGAAAAACGCAATGAAGTATCAAGTGATTTTACTTACCAAAAACATTGATCCCATCATCCCTAGATGATTGTAGATTGGAGAGAAGGCATCCATGAAATGAATGAAACTGCGAGTGATGTAGAATGTTACCGCTATTGGAAACAAAATGACGCTGCAAACATTAATGCCAGAATTCCATCAGATCTACTGGACACAACAACATATATATACTTCCAACAAATTTCATAGCAAGAGGACACAAACACCAAAAATGAACAAAGAAATTACAACAATCATGACTAACTACCAATTATATGATCAATGGTTTACACATATGAACTTCGTCTAGTACTGAATGATTCAGACATTCACAGCGTGCAAATATTTACTTGTTAACAAAGTAAAGTAGCACGCATTATTTCACTTTTTTTTTTTGCATCAATATTGAATCTTATGGAGTGCCATAAAACTGCTGTTCCAGCGAAACATTTAACTAACTTGAAAGTGGCTTATACTTGACATTTTTTTTGCATTAACTGGGGGAGGAATGTCATATGTCCAACATTTTCTATTCTTATGAAGGATTTCATGCACGTTAAAGTGATTGCCAACATGATTAATGCTCAGGATTTGTTGTTGCTTGTTTTGCAGTGTTCTTGCAGCATTCGACCATTAAATCATCCTGTTTTTCCTTGGTTGAGGGCATTGAAATTTCATTGTTTTCTTAAAGTATCTTTTTTGCAATGTGTGAATTTTACAAAAATGGCTCACCGAAAAAAAAAATTGTTCAGAAATATAAGGAAAGAACAATTGGGCAGTCGAGGTATTTACCATCCTGATATGAACTTCTTTGAAGCCCAGGTCCGGATGACTTTAGACAATGCCTACGCAAGGACATAAACAACAGCTTTAGAACAGTGGGTAGCTCAGAACAATAAGAGCCATAAATAAAGATCATCTTATTTTCAAATTCCTTTAAACTTACAACAAAAATTGCAATCAGGGAAAGATGGCACTCTTTCCACTTCTCAATATAATCAAAACATCACTCTTAATTAACATGATAAGGACACATTGAGCTGAAAATGAAAGAAATTGCTTGTGACAACGGTTTTCTTTCTAAATCCATTTCTTTATTCTTTCCTAGATTCTTTTTTTCTTGAAGACCAAACAGTTCAAGACCACAAAAAATAAAATAAATTAGAAATCAGACCTCTTTGCCAGAAGAGTGACGATGGGACGAAGCAGCGACCGGAGGGGGCAACGATTTATTTTCGACGATACTAGCGACTGGCAGTAGAAGCTCTAGATCTCTCTCCCTCTCTGTCGTCGCCATTGCTTTGCTTTCGTCTCCGATTCAGTTTTCCTCTCCCTCTCTCTCATGTTCTCCTGAGTGATAACGAACAATGCCTCAAAAGTAGCCAAGGCCGTGGAGCTTTACGATTACTGTGAAGCATTAACCGACATCGTTTCTCACCGTTTAATGTCCCATTTCAACAGACAGTTAGCTACGAACAAAAATATTACTATTAGTCCTTCAATTTTGTTAAATATTCTAAAAATGGTTCCTCAACGTCTCTTTGTTTTAACAAACTAAATTGAGACAAAATTAATATTTTATTAGTAAAAAATTAATAATCAACAAATTAAATTGAGACAACTAAAAATTTAAAAATTAAGGACAAAATTAAATTTTAATAATAAAGTTATGGTTGTAAGCATTTATTTAATACCATACTCTGGATTTTGGTTGTCACACCCCTGTTTTGTTTTGTTTGAGAGTACAAAGATGTTGAACATAACGGCTTGGTCCCCTCTTTCAAGAATCACCACGCAGATCTATCTTTTATTTGGTTGCTACAAAATTAACTAGGATTGATTTAAATCTCTTACTTAACATGATTACTTGAATAAAACTATGTAGACTCTTCACAGTCGTACACTGCCAAATTTGTCCATAGGACATGGCAGTTGCTTTGTAAATGGGTTAATTTGAATTTATTGTTGCATATGTATGTATTACTGTTTCATTCTTGATTGTTTCTATTTTATTTTAAATTACATGATATAAATTAAAATTTTCAATAAGTGATTTTGCTAAATTTGAAAAATATATCTAACATACTTCAGAGCCCAACCTCTTTGTAAAAGATATGAGGGGAATTAGAGTGAAAACAAAAGGGAAAGGAAAAAAAAAAAAAAAGAAGCAAGTCTCTGAGCTCAAACAAACACTTGCGACTTTATATAGATATATAGACAATTACAGGCATCAGAAACAGTGTAATAGCATAATCTCTCTACATAAATTAAGGAGTGGGGGACTCACTGAAATCCCTTCTCCATATAATCCCACACCTTGACGATGTCTCTCTTTCAGGAATTATACACTTCATCCACTTACTAAAAATAAGGGCAATTAATGGAAATACTGGCTGCCATTGCTAAGTTTTTCTACGGAAAAAGATCTCCTCTGCTATCAGGTACCCCCAACAGGGTAAGTGCACCCATTGTAACCTGTAACACGGATTCAAGAAAAGATTATGAAAGAGAATTTCAGAGAGAAGATGAGGTAGCATGTAACTGTAATTCACTCCCTTGCAAAGGGATTACCAAGAACTGAAAAATGGCATCTACTGCACTATTTGAACGTTGAGAAACAACCAATGATCTCATTGGCTAAATCCAACATGGCTTATTCAGAATATGAATGATTTACTTGAGTTCAGGCAGACTTACTGGGATTAGTGGATGACAGCATGGCTGTTTGTGAGAAATCACAGTTCCAGGGATTCCTGCCAGCCTTTTGGTAGAGGAGATTCATGGCATAAGCAGCATGTGATGCCACGGTGTTTGGATCAAAACAGGCTCCTCCTGGTTGAACTGGACTACAATCTATGCCTGCTTGTCCGCAAGTATAATCTAAATTTGTTTGCAATTGGGCATCTGACACACCTGCCTTAGGCACACACCATAGAGCATTCTTTTGCTTTGGTGATGGAGTCACTGGTGTTTTGGGTGTTGATGGAGTACTCTTGAAAAAAAAAAAATCCATGTTGGCCAATAAAATGCTAACTTTACAACAACAAAACTAGGGAAAAGATACACGAATACATAAATTCTGCATTAACATCTTTACTGTTACCCAGGGTGGGAAGTGAGGGAGAGAGTGGAAGAAAAATCAACACGTCTATCACAAATAGTAACTGTTACTGCAACTTTTTGGTGCCGACCAAAGCCACAGGCAGCCATTAAGAACTCTCATGAGAATCCGAACTTTTGATTTGGAGGTGCTTTTGAATATCATTTCACTTGTTCTGTTTTCCAAAATGATATGATATACAGATGCTTTATGCATCGTATAACTTTCACACCATCCAATCACATGAGAATTATGTGCAATCTGAGTGGAAGTGTTCGGATTTCTTGATTATCTTGGCTGTGGAGTTGTGGCCTCGTGGGCCACCTTATAAATCACATGATTGATAGATCATGAAGAAAGTAATTTCGTTTGGGTCCATGCACTGGCAACCTCAATTAGTGACAGACATGTTTGAATGATTATGAGCATTGTGTTCAATGAATGGTGCATCCTCGTACATCGTATGTATACAAACATGTCCATCTCTAGGTATGTATGTAGAAAATGGGAAGAGGTCTAAGAAATTCAACTATGCAATCAGGGGCGGAGCCATGCTATGGCCCAAAGGGGCCATAGCCCCCCTAAACTTTGAAAATTTATATATTATACCCCTAGAATTATATTTTTTGATCACTTCTTATATGCCACTCAAAAAAAAATTCTTCAAATTATAATTTATACCTTAAATTACAATCTTGATCTTATTTAATCCCCTGGACTATTGATTTGACCACATTAACCAGTAAATATTAAATTTGTTACATTTTGCATCTGTGAATTTTAAACTATTTGAATGATTCATGATGCAATACATTCGAATCAATAGTGTAGTGATAAAGTGAAATTAGTGTTATAGTAAAGAGGACAAAATATAATATATTCAAACACTACACATAAAAAATTCAAAATCATTTTGAGTATGTATTTCAAAAATTTGTTCTCTCTCTCCACATTTGTCCAGTATGATAAAATATAATTGTACTCGAGTGATTATATGGTGAAATTAAACTGGAATTATTGATTATTTGATGAATTAATTTGATTTTTACATCTAATTATTAGCCTAGTTTCAATTAATTTTATTCATTTTAAAATTATAATTACACTGTATAGTATGAGATTGATTCTAATATAGTCTATGCATGTAAAAGTTTGATATTAAAGATCTTATTGAATGACCCATATATCTTGTTATATTACTATTTAGCCCCTCAAGAAGAAATTCTGGCTCTGCCCGGTATCCAATATACCATTGCAAAGAAATGGTGTTCAAGTTTGTGTAGTCAACACTCACCTGGCTGCTCTTTGAAAGTCCCACATCATAAGTCATTGTTAAATCAGGCTTGAAAAGCCCAAACGATCGCTCGGAACTTGGTCCAGGTTTCAAGTCCTCATCATACAATGCAAAGAGATATGTGTCCACTGATTTCCCAGGCATCAAAGGAGTTCCCACCATTGACCTAAGGTGCGCAATTAGATTGCCATTATAAGCCTTGGCATTCTCAATACTTGGGCCAACCTCATTGCTGTCTCCCTTGTATGGCCAGCCAGTCTCAGCAATCACAATCTCAACATCCTTGAAGGCCATTGCGTTCAATGCGGATCGGATAGCATCTAGCTGCAGTTCTTTGAACAGACTGTTAGTACAGGGTACAACCAGATCCCACCATACAACATTTTTCACTTCCTTTGGCAGTGGATTAGGTGAGCCTAAAGATAATCTCATTACACAATTTTCAATATAGATTCTTATGTCTTAGTAACTTGTAAAACTAGGAGAACCATTGATGGTTCTTTTATTTGAGTTTATATTCGACCAGTTCTCATTATCATTCCATTATATGTTTGTCATTCAAGAATGAAAATCCTATTTTTATAAATTATAAAAAAAAAAAAACACCAAACCCACAAACGTCTACTGGCGATGATACAAATACTGAAATTACCAGGGTAAAAGATTACTTACCTGAGCATCGAACATGTTCATGTATTTGATCTTGGAGCCCGAGTCGACCCGCCCTGAATTTGGTTGAAACAGGCAAAACGCCAGAGTCTCAGGCCTCGGATCACTCAGGTAAGCAAAGAATGGGTACGGATTGATCGTAAAAGGGGAGCCAGTTGCACTATTAAACCCCAACAATCCCTTCAGCAGATCAGCAACACTTGGATCAAAGCTTCCAGTAGACGGTGGGTCAGACTGCTTCAACACAGCCATGGAATGAACAGTCGAGACCTTAATTTTACCACCTAACGAAGCTGAATTGAGGCAATTTTGGAGATTTTGCATCGCTGGCAATAGCTGGGTCATCAGATTCTGGTCGCCGGAGCTCATGACCTCGTTGCCGACATTGATGAGAATGATTTTGCTGGCCGGATAGAATGGAATTACATTCGAATTGATCCAGTTTTTGGCAAAGTTCGGATCGGATGCCATTGCTGGAATGTCACCGTTGGCCACGCCGATCATGATTCCGATGTTGGTGTTTGCTAGAGCTTTGATGATCGCAGGGTCAGCTCCGTACAATCGGACCTTCTCAATTGAGGTGGACTGTAACAGTTTAGCTGTTGCCGATGGTGGTGGAAGGTTGTCGGCAACTTGGCCATAATTCACACCTATAAATGACTGTGACTCTGCAAATAGAGAACAATTTGAGCTCAAATTAGAATAATTCAACACTAGCCCGCTATAGTCTCTGTATCAGATGGTGTGGGGGTGTGTCTATGTGTGTGTGTGAGAGAGAGAGAGAGAGAGAGAGTGTGAAATATAATGTTCTGTCTTCAACAGTGTTCGGATTTTCTGATTTGATCAACAAGGAATTATGAACTATACGTAGTATCATAAATTGAAGGCAAAACTGTGGAAATCTTGACGAAGTGAAGTTCTTCATACTTTCTTAAGAGCTTGAGCTAAACACAGCTCAAACACAAATAGTGCAAATCACTGAATTTTTAGGAAAAATCAGCCGGATAAGGATGAGTAAGTAGTATACACAACTGATTTACGAGGCTTACTTGCGACTTGAGCGACTTGCAGGAGGAGGAGAATGAAGGCCACAGAGGTGTAACGAAGGACAGCCATTGTTGAGAGCTTTTTTCTCTGTCCAGTCTCTCTCTCTTTTCTGTGCTTTGGGGTTGGAAAAGAATGATGATGTGAGGAAGAAATAGAGTGAGAGAAAGGAGGGCAAAGCTGGAAAGGAGTTTACTTTTGGTCGGCAAAACTTTGAAGTTTAAATTCCCACTGTGGAGCAACGTGCAGAATAAATTCCACCGTGAACCAATACAATACTCAACCAAACTCTTTTGAAATTGTTCGTTTTTCCAATTTAACGCCATTGATGATTGATGGACGTGGAACCTATTCGTCATTGCCGCGTCGATTGAACGATTAGATTGAAGGGTATTTAAGGAAATTGAAAAAGATTATATTTTGTAGTAAGTTACTGTCTTCAATAATTGGACTCCATTCTTCCCGCAAAACGTACCAAAATTTTAAGTGACGTTAATGCCCTCAATTGTAGCTGTTACGGCTGTCAAATGCTAAATGCTAAATTTAAATTAAAAAATTTATGCAACAATTTGACATTTGACATATTCCAATCACTTTAGCTGATATGTCAAATTATATGATTTAATTTAATACGTGCATTTAAAATATAATAAATGGGATTAATTAAAAATATAATATTATATAATTTATATGAAAAGTAATATATATTTTATTGAAACGACAATTCCTATTAAACTTAATTAATACAAATTTAAATGATAATTAAAAATATAATTTTAAAACATAAATTCAAACCAAATTATATTTTACTACTCTCCGCGACAATGTCTCAACCAAATCAATAAAAAAAAAGAATTTGGCAGCATGCCTTGTTTTTTTGAAGGCCTCGTCAGAATTTGAAGCTTCGAATTGGAGGAGTGCTGATGGATGCCAAATAAAAAGCCGTTGGAGCTGTCCACTTGGATTTTGAAGCTTCGGTTGGAGCTGCTCTTGTCTGTGATAACATGTGTGTTGAGTAAATTACACATAAGATGTTTAAATTATGATATTTATGTTAATTAAGTTTTTTTTGTCAATTGAATCCTTAAATTTGCATTCGCAAACTCTCTATTAGGAAAGAAATTGTTGTCTATTAGCAATGGCTGCTACTTGATCTCAAATCTCAAGAGATCAACGCAATATTTTCTTAACCTCGGGATGTAAAGTGCATTTTCGCTAAATATCAAGGGGTGCCAACGTAATATTTTCTTCTTTTAATTTGACAGGTCTTTGAAATGAATGCCTTTCCTTCTACACTAAGAAATCCCCTTTTCTTCCCTCCGGAGCATGAGAATATGTCCTACCTGTACTTGTGGTAAAAGTGGATTCAATTTAACCATTCTACAACGTAAAACTTATATTAGTCACTTTAAGGACAAAGGCATAAAAGAGGGCATTCTTAAGTAGGAAGTATAATTCGTTCACAAGTAACCTTTTCAAATAACAAACTCGTCTCGTAGTATCATTTTAAGTAGGAAGTATTTATGAGTCAAACTCGTAGTATCATTTTATTTAGGGTAAATTATATTCATCTTCTCTGAAAATTGGTCAAATAACAACTACATCTCTTCTTATTAGGAAAAAAAAACTCTCCTCCCCTATCAGTGGCATCCGTCCCTTTTTCATAATAGAAACTATGAAATGGGTATAATACTCCTCTTGTAAATTGTGAATTAATCATAATATGTTTTAAGAGCATCTCTATCTACGACTCAAATTTAAATTAATATTTGAGTAAAAAGTTTGATTTATTATAAAAGATTCCAATAGACAAACTCAAATTTAAAAAATGAGAGATCCAAATTTAAATGAGGGCAAACTCAAATTTAAAAAAGAGTAAGGATGACCATTAGATCTTTAAAAGATTGTGAAATCTCACCATTAAATATTTGAGTAAAAAAAATGAGTTTCCCTTGATTTTGTATAAATTTGAGTCAAGGGTTGGAACAAGTTTTTTAAATTTGAGTAAAAAACTAATATTTCGATCGCTTTAACGATAATTTAGTACGTAATGAGAGCAAGATTAGATACCAAACATTAAATTTTGTGCTTCAAAACTAAATATAAATTTGAGTTTACTCTCAAGTTTAATAATAAATTTTGAAACAATTGCGAAAAAATATCTCCTTCAAAAAGACAATATACTATTAAGGCATCTTTTACTACTCTTTCATGGGGCACACCATTACATTGAAAAGTTTCAAATGTCCACCCATTACATTTCAATGGAGGTTGGAGTTACAAAGTCTAGAGTTTTATAAGGAGAAGATCATACGAGTATAACTTGGACATGTTAGACATTTTCGGAACTCTTACTTAAATTATAAAATATTCAATTCAAGTTGAATGAGAATCCAAACTTCAATTTGACTCAAAGCCTTCAATCCAAGTAGTGATTGATCTTGGATTTTGCAACTCAAAATTAGAATTATAATTAAATTTTAGTTGAACACAAAAACTGAATTATTTAAAGTCCTAACTTGAATTTCAATGATATTTCAAGTGGTAATAGAGACGAACTGTAAATCTAGACATTTTAAGTTCAAATCTTGACAATCCTTTTAAATCAAATATAATGAATTTATCTCTTATGAATGTTCTAGTTTCGATATAGATGATTTTGTTTTTTACTGAACTGGGAAGAAGATTAGTTGAATGCATACACACTGATCCTAACCATTGAACTGAAAAAACCAAAAAAAATTGGTTAGAATGTTTGTCACCAGCCAAGAATCTGCATCCCAAAATGGGAAATGTAAGAAGTCACCACCGCAAAAACTCAAAATAAAACCATGGGCACTAACAATATTAACCGAAAAGCAACGCCGTCTGTGGGAATCGAACCCACGACCACGTGGTTAAAAGCCACGCGCTCTACCAGCTGAGCTAAGACGGCTTACTGCTCAGTTGGTATATTTTATGTTTTAAATACTTTTCGTAATCAAGGCTTCCGAGGTCCTCCTGCTGCTGCTAGTAAGTATGTAAGATGACATAGAAAAGTTCGGTGCAATTGTAGAAACTAGAAAGGATTCCGCATATTGATTGGATTGGAGCAGATTAATATTTCATTTGAATACTCACTCCAACTCTAGATTAACGGCAGGTATACTCACTCCGTGCCTACTTTTGAATTGAACATTCGACGAGATTGTTTCTATACTATAATCTAGGATTTTTGAGGTTTTAATTCTCTCTAAACAACGAAAAGTTTAAAAAAAAAGGGCCATTTTTCCTAGGTTTTCAGTTTCTGGTTGACTTTGGTTTTCCAAAACGTGGAGAACTTCTATCAGACTTTTTCTTAAACTAGGCTATTCTCAATGTAAATAGTTCATGGTTTATTTCAAGCGGCTCCCACTAGCAGCTCTGTGCTGCGGAGTTAGGCTATGACTCTGACTCGGCTTTTGGAAGTACCTCCTAGACAGGGTTTCGACCGGGTTGCCCCTTCGAATCCTTTTAAATTAGGGGAAAAAAATTGCATTTTGGTGTTGCTCAATATTTATTTTTCAAAATAGATTGATTGCATATCAGTTGCAATAAGCTAATAGAGTTGGTTAGGATGTTATATGTGCAGTTTAAAATTCAAGTAACATATTTGGTGATAGAGCTATCTTTTAAGCGAGTTGGGCTTATAAGGGCAGTGAAAAGTGAAATGGAATGCTTACATTGTAGATGATTTTCAAATTGATGCCTTTTGCTATACATATAAAGGTCAATCATAATTTAGTGCTAAAAAGTTTGGATTTTCAACCCTAAGTTGGTAGTTTAAAATGGCAATTACCTTGCGAAGATATGACCTAAGGTTAAGTTTCTGCACTTTTCCTAGTGCTCAGTTATGCACTTGGAAAATTTTTAGAAAGGCACTAACTACTGATGATAGAATACAAAGTGTGGGGGTAGCTATGGCTAGTAAGTGTTTAATGTGTGGTATGGCTGGAGAAAGTATTGCTCATCTATTCATTGAATGTTCTGTGGCTCAAGCTGTCTGGAGGAAAGTTGCTGTGATGATGGGGTTTGATGTTCTATCAGGAGAATCTCCTTTATGCAGATTTCTGAGACTGATAAGAAGGTTTAAAGCTCCTTCAATCAGTCACAGTCTGACAAGGGGAGTATCTATGTTAATTTTTTGGGCTCTGTGGAAGGAAAGATGTAGGAGGAAGTATGAGGGAGTGTTTCTAAATGCTCATGCAATTTTTCTACAGCTTGTGAGTACTTTGAGATGGCAGGCTTTTCTTATCAAATCTGGAACAAATGATGATTGTAAGGGAAAGGAATTATTGGGAGAGTTGAATATTAAAAATCCTTTTTCCTTAATCACTAAGGTCAAATGGATTAAGCGGGAATTCCCTCCTGAAAATGTGCTGAAGCTTAATGTTGATGGTGCCTCTAAAGGTAAAACTGGATTGTCAGGTGGTGGGGTGGTGTTGAGAAATCCTGAGGGGGGAGTGATTTTAGCTGCTGCTTGCTTTTATGGAATTGGTTCAAATATGTTAGCTGAGTGCATGGCATTGTTTGATGGATTATTGTTGATTCTGCAGCATGGTTTGTCAGCATCTCAAATTATGGTGGAGTCTGATTCTCAAACATTGGTTCAAATGGTGATGGGCTTAGCTGCTGTTCCATGGAAATTGCAATACTTGTTAGAAAGGATTAATTTGTTGTTTGGCATGTTGGATCTACAAATTAAACATATCTATAGGGAAGCTAATGGGCTGGCTGATTTTTTAGCTTCTTTTGCTGTTCAAACAGAAAGGAGTACTGAATTTTCTGGAAGTAATGTTCTTCCATTTTCTGGGAGGGTGATATTGCAGCAAGATCAGAATGGATTACCTATTGCCAGATTGAAGAGAATGATTTGTGGACAAAGACAGGGTATAGGTTGATTTGTTTTTGCTTCAGGTAAAGACTGCTTAGGGCAGTTGGACAGTTGGAGTATGCTTAGCATCTGGGCATTAAAAAGGGTTGTTTCTGATTTCTCATAGCAGTGTACTTATGAAAGCAGTATCTGGACTGCTGGTTCTCAAGAGCTGCCTGTTTCTGGTTCCAGTTGTCAGGCTGTTTGGATTCTGATTAATGGAGGTATATGGATCAGTTGTAATCAGCTGAAGCATTTTTAAGCCATAAAGTATGTGATGGATTCTTTCAGCTGATTTGGAAGTCTCTCAATTGTTCTGCTATGAACTTGTGTGGTTCAGCTGGTCTGTTATTGCCTTGATTTGGGAAGAGGTTTTCAGCAGGAAGAAGAGAAGCTGTACAGAGGGGATACAAATAGAATTACTTTTTTACCCTTGTATATCTTAAAAACAGTGACTGTTTTGCTTCTTGTAATTTTTGCATTCAATAAATAAAAATTCTATTTCTTCAAAAAAAAAAAAATGGTTAAGTTTCTGCACAGTCCATAGCTTCCAGCAGCTTTTGGTTAATCAGGACCAACTGATCAAGACCTTTACTGTGATTCATGTGACAGATACAAACGTTAGAACCAAGAAAAGGAAAGAAAGATAGCAACAAAACTAAAAATCACAAATCTGCTTAAGCATTACATTAAAATTACTACTCCTTGCAAAACCATATTCCACATAAATACCCGATAAAACAAATCCAGCCATACAAAACTCACTTTACACCACAGATTATTCAGAAACTAGTTATGACAGATGACATTGTTGTTCTTTTTGATCAACGGAAGCAGTTACATATAATAAATTCTGCGTGATCTCATCTATGAGTCCGTTGAGCACATGCCTTTCCACATCCTTTATGACACCATCTTTGTCCAAAAAGGCGAACATCTTTTCGTTCCAACCACAGTCCCACATACCATTCACATCTGGATCTCTGTTTTGTACATCTCTCTCAAGCATTTTAAGCAGATAGTCTGCATCATTTAATTCCTCTCTGCCCTCCCGACCATAGGCTCTCAACATCTCAAAGTCTTTATACAACTGTGTGACCAAATCATTGAAGGAGCTTATATTTACATAACAGATTGATATCTTCACAGAGGGATGAGTAGTGAGCTCTTGTCGTCTTCCTTTTCTTTTCATTACTTCATAGCCACAGTCTAATATGAGCTTAGCATCTTCATCATGACAATTAGGATCTCTGACATGAAGAATGTCAACAGGAATATTAAGCTTGAAGAGTGCCTCTGCAGTGTTGAGGAAGAGTTGACTTGTCATCAATATCTTCCTTAGGTGCTTTCCATTTTCTGTCAATGGTTCTGGTGTCCCTGATGTGGACATTTTACTGTGCTCATGTTGAGGAAGTATACCAATTTCCATACTTCTTTTCTGGTCTGCTGCAACTACAGAAGAATTAGGATTAACTACTGTTTGTTGTCCACTGTTTTTATGTATGTGTTGTCTTTAAGGCAAGCACAATAAATAATATTAAAGTGTAGAAGTAGGGATCTGTTGGCGGAAACTGAAATTGGCTTGAAGTTTTGAATGTTAGGTTCTGCGCATCTACAAGATGAAAATAGGTTTCTAAAAGTGTTTTGGATTTTCTTAGTGATAAGTTGCCGCAGGCCGCTGCTTATTTGACCTTGAAGGGAAGATAGGATTAACAGATGGTTCTATGGAGCGAAATACTATCTAATTAGAGGTTTTTGCGTGGGGTTTCAAATTTCTGCATTCATTTTTCTTCTGCTATTTGCTTGGGAGAAGAACTTACAATGTCTCTTTTAGGGAAGCTGGGAACTTACAAAGAAATGCTGAGTTGTACTTACCATTAAGCAAATTTGGTGGATTTTTGTAGGAATTTAATTCAGGATCTTCTCTTAAAATAGTTGCTTGTCTTTGGTGATCTTGAGGAACCATAAAAACTTCTGAGTCTATATTTTCAGTCTGCAAGACATCAAATAAAGCATAGTGAGTAATTTACCTGCAGGATGTAGTTTGCAGACAAAGAAGTAGGATATTGTTTGAATAATAGTCAAACAGTCAAAAGTCATATTTTATGTATAAAAATTCATAAGTTTTGATAAGGTGCACTTACACTGTCACTTGAAATTAGGGCTTGTGGAACTTTAGGGTCTCCAACAGAACTGTACAAAGTAGTGGTCTTTTCGGCTTCGTTGTGCAATTGTTGTACCCCATTCAGTGGTTGCATTGTTGGTTGTGATTTGTTGGATCCAATGATGCCCACTTCTGCTTCTTTGGACCAATTGGCACTGAATTTTTCTTCTCCTCTGGAACTGCTAGTTTTGTCATGCCTTGTCTGTTTCATCTCTTGCAAAATGGAAATTTGACGCTTCAATGGTTTTGCCGTGTTACGCAGAGTTCCATTTTGTCTTGTCATTACTCCAGCTATCTTTTTAGGAGTCTCACTTCTTTGCACTTGCATATAATCTACCTTCTTCCATGTGGCTGGGACATGCACAGGATTCTCTTGTATAGGTGATGGCACTCCACCACTTAAAGTTGCTTTCTGATCTGACTTTCCATTCTTGGACTTTTTCGGGTTGGCTATGGAGTTGGTTGAACTTTCATCTCTGGCAAGATCTTCATTGTGTTTGCTATTTGGCAACTCTTTAGCTGAATTTGCACCAGTAGGTTGCATAGAACTTATCTTACTAGGTGTTGTTTGGCACGTAACTGCCTGCTTCTTTTGTAAACTTCTTGAACCATATGTGGGTTTCAATGAAACCTTGGGTTCTGCTTGACTTCCTTTAAGTTTTCTGGGCTGCATCTTCTCTTTGGCAGTCTGCTTTCTTTTTTCAACATGGTGTTTTTCCTGTTGATGCTCTATATTTTGGAGCATGTGCAGCTGATGCAATCCATAGTTGTCCCGGGGCTTCTGTTGATTGCTTGGAAGAAGCCTGTTTGCATTTTGCTTTTCCACTTGAATTGCAATTTCATTGTTCTCAGCATTTTCTTGCAGTATGTCTGGAATGTCTGGACTTCTATGCTTCTGTGCTGCTCTCTGCTGCCGCTCATCCTTCAAGACTGGTTCCCTGGTCTGACCCTTTTCTGTGCTTTTCTGTTCCTTTTGCATTGGATTATTGAGCCCTCTTTCGTTCTCCTGTATATTCCAGTGGCTTCCAGGAAGGTGATTCAATTGGATAATGCTGCTTTGTTTGATATTTATGGAAGTGGCAGTCTTTGTTGAGCCTGACACTGCATCTATTCCATATGCTTTTTCCAAGTCCCGCCTTTGTGGTTTGCCATTAGGTAACATCATGTCAGTGTAGGCATTCGTGGTCTCCTGGATTTTTTCAGGTCTCTGTGTAAATGTAGTAACTCGATTTGGTGGTATTTTGTTGGCTTGTATCAACTTTTCTTTAATGGTGTGGGGAGCTTGATTCTCGACATTTTTGATCTTTGGTGTAACATTCTTGGTTCTTGCATGTTCAGTCTTCTGCATTACCATTCCTTTCTGCTGCAAGCTTGATTCTTTTTCTTTGATCTGTGAATCTACCTTCTCAGGAGGTTCTTCCAAGCCCATTAACTTTGCAATTACATTTGCCGTTCTCCCCTTTTCTTGTGTGGAGTGGAACGAACTGGAGTGATTTCTTGTTTCTTGGAATGGCGAAAGAGATTTGAAATCCGTGCCACAACTGGCGGACCTCCTATGAGGCATCAAATTTGAGGTAGTTGGAGCTTGCTTCTTGGGTTGAGTTGCAGCTTCAGTTGCATACGTCAAGGCCAACAGCCTCTGCTTGCGATCGGTCCTCACAACCTCTTTGTTGCCATGAGAATTCCTGGAGGGCTTATCAAAGGAGAACCTTGGCAGGTCCAGTTGTTTCTGTTCAACTATTTTACCAGTGTTATCTTCATCCTCCTCATCCTCCTCGAGTAATCTGATTCGACTTTTTCTCTGAGGGCTGATCATGTACTCTGAAGCTTCCTGCAGGTTGGCAAGCACTCTCAGGGACTCTTCCAAATCCATTGCCCCTTTCAACAGTTCCTTCCCAATTTCTATGGAATACCCATCAAAGTTGAGGCCATTGGAACAGGCTCTTAGAATCTGGTTTAAGTTCTGTACCCCTCTTGATATATCTTTGATATGAAGATGAGAGATTGTAGGGAACTGGATAGTTGGTGGGCGGTGCTTGTCAAAACTGCTTCTTCGTTGTATCTTCACGATGTCCAGTGATTTCCTACCAATATGACGGAGGAAACCTAGCATTGAGTCATTGCCTGAAGAATCCAATTTACTGAGTTTTCCTCCATTCTGAAGTGCAAAAGTGAGGGCCATGGACAGGTCTCCTAGTTGTTCTGAGTTTCGGCCTCTTCCATAAGGAACAATCTGTTGTGAAGATTCTTCAAGTGTCAGTACCCGATTCCCTCCATTCTGCCTTCTCTGAGAGGTCACAGTTTTGGAACCAACCTGCAGGCAAGAAACCATAAACCATACAAAATTTTGTCCTAATACTTCAATTGTCTCAGAGATTACACATTTTCAGGTATGTTAAGGATTGAACTTACAGATTCAGGTGCTTTTATCTTTTGGGATCCTCTGTAGGTTTGCCCAGGGTTTCCATGTGCATCTGTTGATCCAGACACGGAAAATTTAAAAAATAAGATTATTTATGCAAACACAAACTAAAAATGTTTAACTCTACATGTTGGTCCTTTAGTCATGGTTCTCAAAGTCAGCCAGGGCTTATCCAAGGTTTTTTATGTCTGTTAGTGTTGTTACCGTGACTTTTTCATTACTTCAGGATTTGGAAACACCTATAGGTCCTGAAACCCATGTAGTTATCACATTTTACAGATGCAGAAGCCTTATCTAAGAGAGTAGATCCTTGGTTCGGTTGAGGTACTATATTTCAGTCAAATGATCCTGTTTGTGATTTCTTTGCCCCAATCTCAGAGTGAAAGTCAATACATGTGCAATGCTACTTCGACTTAATTTGGGAGCCAAATTCATTGTAGCTAGGAGATCAGCTATGAATTCCAATGACAGATGGGATCGACTTTCGAGTTTAACGGCTATAATAGATTAAGACCCCAGTTTAGGCCTCAAATTAGGTATAAGTGGTATTTTCCTACATGAAAAGCAAGTTTACCCCATTCCTTCTGAGGAGGTAGCATACAATGTGGAAACAAAGATCATTTTTTAAGGAAAATTAGGAAGATTTACCTGAAAAGTTTGTCTTCTCCAGGAAATAACTAAAAAGTACTTCTACATGCCCCTCGCCCCCCCAAAAAAAAAAAAAAAAACCCCAAAACACCCAGTTCCCCAACACATAAATAAATAACTAATGGCATGTGAAAGGGTTCTTTTCTTTTACAGCTATGTGGTTTCCAATTGATCCTTCTATACTCAGCCTGCTGCTTTTGGAATTGCTTGAACTTAATGAACAAGAATATTGTAACACAATGTCAGTGTATTTTGCATGTAAGCAACTTCAATGAGAAGTTATTCAGACTCTCGTTGCACTGCTGTTTAATTCCACATATGCTTTCTAATACATGAAACAGTAGACTCATTTACAGTGTTTTACACCACCCGTTGGGCTTTCTGCTTGCTTGGTACTGATTAAATTAAACTCTGAAACAAAAGTTGTTTATATACTCTGTAGTATAGAGTCTATATTTACCTCTGGACATTGTGTTTGAACTACTTGAGCTTTGAGATGCAGCCATCCGTTCTTTCCGCCTCCGGAGATCGTGTAGCAGTTTCTGCGCAAAGTCTGATTTTGTTGCCATATTGTGCTTCCTGTTGAAACTCAATTTCAAAACTTGCTTGATAAATAAATGGAGCCTAATTCTCCATTCAATGCAATAAACTTGATCTTAAACACGAAAACTTCCCGAGCTTGATCTCAAACCCGAAAGCTTCTTCAGTTTCCGAATGCAGAGAGCATCTCTAGATTGTGTTTTGGGTTCTTTCTTCTGCAGGTAAGACAAGAGAGGAATGTCTTGTTTCTAATGTAGTTGGGAGGGCTCTTTCAGTGTTGGGTAAGGTGGGAAGTCCGGTCTAAAACAATCAAATATTGTTGAAAATTATTCATCTTGGAAGGTTGACGTGAACGTTAGAGCTTTCTCTCTCTCTATGTGTATGTGTGTGGGTGGTCTTTGCAGCACTTGAGTTACCCCGACTTTCATTGCAATCCAAGCAATGGCAGAGATGTCAAACTGCTTTACACAGAAGTCTCCTTTGCAGGAAACTCTTCTTTTTTTTTTCCAGCTACTTTGCTTCAAAAATCTTTTCATGGTTTTCCAGTCATTCATAGTAGATCGATGAAAGACATTGCATTAAATGTTTTCACCCCACAAACATGAAGCAATACGCGTAAAAGGCATTGCTTAGGACTTTGCGTTAAGACGTTCGCTAGTGCTTATGCTAGTTGGTGGCAGGTGGCACAGGTGCTATTTCCTGATCCTTACCTGCCATTTCATTGCCAATTTCCTGAAAGCACTGGACTATAGTACCAACCCCCCCCCCCCCCCCCCCTCCCCAAAAAAAAAAAAAATATCGTACTTTTAAATTTTATTAATTCAATTAGTATTTTTATAATTTTTATAGGTTATTTTACAATTAAAAAATTTATCACTTTGTGGATAATTTATCATTGTAATGAGTGTTTTTACCATTATTGTAATAATTATTTTACTATTTTTTTTAGATAATTTTTTTTTATCACTTTTGTTGGTGATTTTTTATATTTGCGAGTGTTTTTACTATTAGTGCGAGTGTTTTTATCACTGGTATGATAATTATTTTTACTATTTTTTTTGATATTACTACAATAGTGATAAAAATATTCGTAAATGTCGGTCCTTAGCCCTCACTGATATCTCCTCTTTTACTTTAGTTTTTATTTAATTTTTGATTATATTTCTGGGATAACAAATATATAAGTATCTCAATCATATATTTTTAAAATTAGTGATTATAAAGTAAATTCCAAATTTGCATTATCACATACAAGGTTGAAGTCATTCTCGTCATAGTTTGGTTTAGTGGTCGGTGTCATTCTCGTCATGGTACAGATGCAAGGTTGAAGTCTCATCCGCCCTTAAAATGACCTTGAAGTGGTTAGAATTACCACCAGTCGTCTCCATTTAACAGGAAGAGTGATTGGAATGACTTGGAATGTATTCTGTCAGTGGACATGAATCCATCTTGAGTTGTCGGCACTTTCTTTCTCTTGCTAAAGTAAGTGAAGAGAATCAATTCAGTCTTCATTTGGAAGTATAGACAAGTATTGCGCATGAATGCAGAAAACTACCTTTTGGAAAACAGATCACCTGTACAAAAGATTGGTGTAATGG